TATTTCCTGACATCTTATCTTGACAGTACAGGTGAAGAAATCAAAGATAGTCAAGACTGTTAAGTAAAAATAGATGTTTATCATTCTGAAATCAGCGTTGAAGTTTTCTGTACTAAACATCAAAGAACAAGATTCGGATTTTCAGTGTCAAGTCAGAGACTTACTGTGTCACCGAAAGCATTTCGAACAGGCTGCTACAAACTCTAATCAACAGTTGCTACCTTCGAATGGCCGCACAGGAAAGATTCCCAACTCTTGAAACTCTGGGAACAAACTAACCAAGAACTTATTGCCCAACAAATATGTAGGAGAAAATGGAAATGAACTGCACACACTCTAAGCAAACCACTCAGTGACATTATACACCAGACAGATCCATGAGTGGAACCCTAGTGGGAAATAACGAGTTGGGCGTGGGTCTGAGGGTGACACTGTGGAGATCATATGAGGAGGAGATGACAGTCCATGAACAATCACGGAGCTATCTAAAGAGAACTACAGAGAACCGATCGAAATGGAAATATGCTGGTGATGCATTATATTCCATTCGGAACCTGAGGGAATTATAACAGATAGTCATAATGTAATGACATCACTTTCTGTGTTCCTAAAACTTCATCAATTTGTACTTACTTTGATTAAGTTAGTGAGGAAGTGTTAGTAGTTTTCTCTACAGATCACCTTCATATCCTTATAGTCACTTATTCGCGCATACTTTGTCTCCAGTAAACTATTTAAACAAATAAACTAGGTTCTGTGTTAAACATATAAAACTGTATCTCTGTTATATTATGCTACTACATGTGGTCTGTTATCTCAGGGATGCTTCGTTTTTACTTGTGTTCAGTGTCCAAGTGGCGTTCATTCAAATTGGCGTATTTAGAAGTGTCCTTTATCATCAATCTTTATGACATTATTCTAACAAATATTCCTATTGCAGAAAACAGATACTGATGCCGCCAATGTACATTGATACATTAGGAAAAAAAGCCTTTGTGTTGGAAGTAAATGAAGAAACTAAAATTACAATTTATACTCTGCGATTTTTTAAAAAAAATGGGAGATTGTATATTGCCATAGATTGGTCATCACTAGCTAACTGTATTAGCCAACCGCATAAAGTATACCTGATTAAGAAATTGAAATGTAAGAATTTAGAAGTCAGCGTTTGTCATGGATGGAAATCATTTAGAGAACCACTGGGCAGATATCTCATCGTACCGAACACGGTCTACAAGATGAGATGGCTGACCATTAAGTCCCTGGGCTGATACCCGGTGGCCTCTGAGTTCTATCTAACTCCAGTTCAATTTGTGTGGTATAGCATCACCGCCAACCAGTGTCATAGGAGAGTATCTGCTATTGGGTGGGCCTCATTGATCATGACCTCACTAGAAGCCGATGGATTCCATCCCTCAGTCGATCAATAATCAGAAATGAATTTGCTTTTAAGTGTGATTTTGTAGGAATATTGATTTCAACAGTCTTCCATCTGATGTAGGTTCGTGATAAGTTCTAACATTTGGAAATTTAAAAAAAATTTTACAGAGGACAATAAAATAAATAAAACTGCTTATCGTTAGGCATTAGTGTCGTTGGTTCAGGGGTAGAATCTTTGGCAATCACCCACGTGGTCGGGGTGTCATTCCTCTTTGACGCTCTCCTGAATCTCGCCTAACAGGAAGGGGAAATGTTGGGTCGTGAGACTATCAATCAGCCTCACCTAGTAAAAACAACACAAGCGCTACTTCTGCTTCAAAGCTTAAATCTTGAAACCCTATTTTCCATGCAAAAACGGAAAAGACTAGAGAAAATCCCCTTACTATTCACATAAAGAATACTGAGGCAGTGAAAAAGATATACAACAGAATAGGCATGTGGGATTAGTAAGCGAGAGATAAAGCAAGTAATTAAATGCCTTCAAATATTTTGACAGTAATGTATTTTAAAAGTTGAGAGGTGAAGAACATAAAACAAATTTCATGGTATAAAGGAAGGACTACGCAGACGTGAAATGTTATTATTATTATTATTAGAATAACAAATAGTTTACAATTTACTTAAAATGAAATACTGGATTTCGTTTAACGCTACTAAAAAAGTGGGGAAGTAGAACATAAATCTATGAACAATATATGTCGTATATAATTAGACTGAAACAGAGGGAAAGATAATAATGTGGAATCAGACATTTACTATTGGTTATATTTTTCATTATTTGATTCCTTTGCATCCCCAACGGAACATAGGGCTTCAAGCTACAGGCGTAAAGCTTCAGAAATTGTTAGCCTCACGTCCGACCTTCCCTCTCTACCGGGCCTATTATCCCCGCTAAGCTTGGTAAAGGAATGCTTCGACCGGGAATCGAAACCCAGATCACCTGCTTGGTTAGCTAGTGTCCTACCAGTAAACCACCGATGTAAGTTAGACATTTACGATGAATAGTTTCTATCCTGTAACACTCATTCAGTGCAAAATAAAACCGCTTATTGGAGAGAACTTATTCAGATTATGCGTGTTGGCGAACAACCATCCAGTTTCTGCCACTAGTTGTTCTTTTTCCCTTCCATATTATCTTGGAATGCAGATTTAGCTAACTGGCTTAAGCACTCGACTTTCAGTCAGTGGGCCCCCAGGTTCAAATTTTGCTCTATACATTCTTCAATCTAATGTGAGAGAAGAATTAAGCGCTGTCTCTTATTCCTTTGCGTTCCAATTAGAAGTTATGGTTTAAAGCTTTAGCTCTGAAAATTCAGTAGCAGTCGCTAGCCTCACATCCAACCTTCCCTTTTCACTTACTTACTGAATAAGTGAGGTAAAGCAATGCGTCTATCGGGAAATGAGCCTTGGATCCCTTGAGTGAATGACAAGCATTCTCTACTAATGAGCCACTGACGCAATGAAGTTTCAAAATGTCATCCAATTATTAATACTGTATCACTATGTGTTACATTGAATAAAATTATCCACTGCAGGATTTCTTCAACTTAGACAACCGAGTATTATCATCATTCCTCACACGATAAGTGTAGCTAATAGCCTGGCTCATGAAAGACTTGTTCCTGGTAAATGAATCCTAACAACAACTAGTCTTGTAAGGTATTATGGAAGAATTAGAAGACTTAGAGTTAAAACTCTTCAGCTTCATAGTGTCACAATATTTTTCGTCTTTACGCAATCATAGGTGAGCCTTTGGTTCAATGGTAGAATGCTCACCACCCACCCACACGGTCGAGATTCGATTCCCAGCCAACAAACTATTTAAACTTAGCTTAGCTGCTAGCAAACTCCATAAACAGACATTTTAAATACACGCGAGAGTAGAAAATACACCGTCAGAGGTCATATTTTAACTAATTGAAACAAACTGAACAAGAGGATTATGTGGAATATAATTGTGGGGATTTTATGGTAGCCCAAGTTTTAAACCAGTCGTTTTGTGAAGTTCATTTAATACTGTTCCCGGCCTAATGTATTTGTTTACTGGTTGAAGAATTTCATCATAAACTGACATCAGTTAGAGAAACATTGGAAAACCAGCTGGGAGTACTGGACAGTTGTTTCTTCCCATTTTGGGACTCTTCATCAGTACGCACCCAGCAGAGGGGGGTCGAACTCAAGACATTCTGGCAACAAGGCAAGCTAGCTCGTAGACAATTAGGCCACTGGGACTCGATCCACTGGCCAACCAATGAATTCTAACTTCTTCCAATTCATGACATAGAGTGACCACTTCACAATGTCTTCTTCGATGAGTTACTGCCTCACCTTCAACCTGCTGCACCCTACTGGCACGGCTCCTCCCTAGAACCCCAGGTCAACACCTGAACAGGGACAGTCACTAGTGTGTAACAGGTTAATTTTCAAGTATAGGTTTTGTAGAGATTTTGTTTGATCGTTTGTTTATCTAAAGGATTAGTCCTACATTGATAAGGGTGTTTCTGAATATCCTCAGTGGCGATTTTGAAGTACCCTTGTCTTTAGCAATTCTTCACGTTTATATCATATTCTACTTTTGAATTTATATTTGTTTATCATCCTCATGGTTGGGAAGTAAACTTAGAGGAATTTATTCATGGATATATTTTTCTATATTTTCGATTTAGGTTTTTTCATCCCCTCGCGTTCCGAGTAGGATAATGGGTTTCAAGCTTGAGCTTTGAAGTTTCAGTATCAGTTCAGTTGTCTAATTTTTACGGGATGAGTATGCTAGGCTCAGAAGTTTCTACTAAACTTAAGAGAAAGCAAAATCATAAGTGGTAACGTATCCGGATACAATGGGATAATTGTTCCTGAGAATTTTTAGTACAAACTATCATTGACTAAGAAATAAAACTAACCACATACAGTCATCAATTAATGAGCTATTATTAATATCCCCTGGGTCTCAAAATATACTTCTGCATCTATTTTAAATGACTTTCGACCAAAGTCACGCATTTCTTCGAGAAGTAGACAAAGAAGGAATATCATAGGGGGTGGTGTGCGCTTCCCGTTGGACAGCGTTGTATCAAGAAAATAGTAGTTGTACTATTTTCTTTGAAGACCCTGGACAAAGAGAAAGCATTTTTCAAGTATTGGTTTGTAGGGATTTGATTGATTTCTTGCAGGAGATCTTCATGAGCTGACGTCGGTTAGAGAACCACTGGAAAATCTGGGATTACTGCACAACTGTTTCGTCCTAATCCGGGACTCTCCACAATACGCACCCACCGGGGTATGCTATATATGGTATTATGCTATAAATAAACTGGTACACATTCGAATAACGACAACAACAACAACAACCACAGGGGTCCCTGATCATTCTTGCAATGTAGTCAAGATCCGAATGAAATGGAATGATGATCATTCTATCCTTAACCTCATAGTAATCAGCTGTGAATCACCTGTGGCGTACCTAATACTCGCCTCCTGTTAGGTTGAAAAAACATTTAGAAACACTCAAAAGTTGCAGTTATGCATGAATAATTCATCCGATTATCGATAATATTACTCACCTCCAACAATTACTTTTACTGTCATATTGATTTGAGCATTTTTATACGTTGATTTAGCAATACAAACATATTCACCGGCATCATGTTTTTGAACATATTGAATAATAAGTGTACCACCTTCAACTTGATTAGGTGGACGAATCCTCTGCAGATCATTTGAATGAGGACCAGTTTTACGAAACCATTCAACAGTAACTGTACCATAACCTCTAGCTTTACACGGAATTCTGCCTTGTACATTGATTTCCAAAAAGTGTTCACGTATTTCTCGAAGAAATTGTAGTTTTGCTGGAAAAGAAAACAAGTGGACAATCGTTCTTTTTTGAGATTTTCAACAAAGAGCAGATAAGATGCTTGCATGATTAGTTAATTTTAACCAGGACTACAGATTGGCATCAGTGAGAGAATAATTGAAAATCAGGGAGTACTGGAAAGTTGTTTCCTCCTAGTATGGGACGGACTCGTCAGCAGTACGCACCCATGACCCCAGTGGTGCTCTGACTGTCTGTTGCCAATCCGTGATCTAACAATTCAAAGGTGATGCGCTAAGAGAAATAATAATCAACATGTTGAGAAAATCGATTGAAAGGACGTTTAATACCCGTAATCTGCAGCTTATATTTCCCACACAAGGGGTTGTGATTTCGAAACTGAAAGACGAAATACCTCGGCTAACCACCTCCTCTTATTGTATTTATCAATTCATTTACTCCTGTAGAGCCAGTTATATTGAGTGTTGGTCTAGAAATCTAATTTTTTGTCCTCTGCAACACCTATCAGTGTGTGTGGTTAAATAAAGGTGTTGTTAAAACCGTCAATAGTTTGATATTCAATCAACTGATCGAACTGGGTCTGAATTCCACTTTTAGTCAGCACTATTCAGTTTTACATTTGAAGTTATTTAACGCTAACGCATACACAGAACAATATTATTTAACTTAGATGAAATATATGAGTGAATTAAATAAGTTAACATACTAATTTTTAAAAAAAAATAATAAAAATCGAATAACCCGTAGACGCTTTACTAACCTTTTACAATTAAAGTTTGTTCACGACCAGCCCATCGTTCTTTATATCCATCAGTTTGTACAAAACATTGGTATTGGCCTTGATCTTCAGGTTTCAATTCAGGAAATCTTAAAGTCTCTCCGTTATTCTCCCAAACCATAAGCTATATACATACAGAACATTTAGTTAGTAAAAACCAGAACAAGCTATCATGACAATAAATAATGCGAATGACAAACAAAGTATGAAGGGGTTACAGCCAATGCCACTTTACCGAAACAGAAATGGCAATGGATAAAAACACAAATCCCTATTTCACTCAGTTCTAGTGAGAAGCTGTGACCAACCAGTGGGCTCAACCAGGTCGGCAGTGAGGACAAGTACTCGCCGATGATGACGGCCGGCGCTCGTGCTAAAATCACCGATTGGCAGACGTTGATGGGCTGGCCATTGAGTTGGGTCCCAGCGGCTGAATGACCTATGAGGCTGCTCGCCTTGTGCCCTGGTTCGAAAGTGGATGGCGGGTGTGTACTATCGATGAGCCCCAAACTAAGACGAAACAGCAAGCTGTCCAGTACTCCCACCTGGTTCTCCAATGGTTTGCCAACTGATATTAATCTGTGGTCAAACTAACTTTTGAAAAATAACTTACTAAATGTTTACAAATCCATATAAGTATGTACAAAGTAAAATTAAGCACCCAAAGTTTAATATAATATACCCTATTGTGTATTTTTAAACACAAGCTTTGGTAACTAGTGGGTAGTTTCTTACAACTTTCGTTGAAACTTCATCTTCTACTATGTGAATTTCCTGTTTAGTTGACATAACATAGAAGTAATCTGGTACAGAAGTGCCAGCATACCTGTAATTGATATGAAACCAATCACTGACTTTCAGAAGTTAAATCCCACTGCGATTCAAGTCTCCGTCCTGAATTCAGTTATTATCTTATCATATTTGTGCTACTGGGTGAGGCAAGGTTCTATTCAGCTAACACTCCAGAAAATTTTGTGAACTTCTTCGAATCACCTTTTACACATACACACACAGAAAGATATTCTACTAAATAGTTTCAGTGCTCAAGGTATTTCCCGAAATACAGTAGATAATAATGGGAACAATAAATGATTGTTACATTTATCGGTTGCTAGGGTGTAGCCACTGTCATGCGTCCAGTCCTTGGTGTAGGTGCACACTGACTTCTATCATTTAAGCTCGTAGTATGCTCACCAAGGACTAGACGTATGACGTTGAACATATCCAGGTGACTAATCAATGTATCCATTACAGTCTTACCGTAGGTCAGTCGTGATACCCAATAGACCACTGGAATTGTCCCTGAAAACAGTACTGGGTGACACGGGTTCGAATATCAGATAGGACATTAACTCTTTCAAGATTGCACTTAGACGACTCCTAACAAGCAGGGGACCAAGGTCAAGTAGGGCTTCTTGCCGATCGCTTCCAACCACCTAACAAATGACTGCTGAATTACCCTCCATATTGAAATAATTTTATTAAACAAGCCATTGTAGAAATACAGAATAGTGCTTTAAACACTTACACTATTAGCATATTTCTCTAAAACTCGTTGATCTTTTTCCCAGTAGACAATACTTCCAGGAATTGAACGTTTCTTAATACCACAATCTAGTGTAATTGAACTATCTTCATCCAATGCGTGCTCTTCATGAGTTAATGGTTGATAAAATTCTGGTGGAACTAAAATGAAAAGAACAAAGGCAGAAAAAACTGTGATATACAAGATATTCATTCATGTCACGGTTAATGACAAGTTGTCAAGTACAGAAACACTCAATAAGCTTTAATTTCATCAACTTTCAACTAGTCTATATATGCATATAAATTTGTACATATATATACATATATCCCTTAACCAGTATACTTGTAAGGGCCAACTCAGAGAATAGACTATGGAGTGAAAATGAACCAACGACCTTCAAAGCTTAAGGTTCGTTGGATTACTGAATCTACGATTACTGCAGCGTCACTAAGAACACTAGCCGAACAGTGGAGTAGATTTCATCCGGATCTAGTGTTTAAGTACTGTTCGGATAATGGATTAATAGCACTTAGTCTGAAATGCTCTTGTGGAGGTTGTATTTACATCTATCGGTTTTCAAAGGCACTTGATGGACATGTATTCAGATGTACAGACAGTAAAAAAAACAATCAGTGTTCGAAATGGTAAGTCATACAATTTAATCAATAACTTCTAGGGTCTTTCTTTTGAAATTGAAGTTGTCGCCAACTAACATTCTTTTTTATCTGTCATTATTGGGTTATGAAGATTGAGGTGACATCCAAAGCTGCAAATACCGGAAATCTGTTGGTTTTTAGTGTCCGATGGCGGCAGCATTGTAGCGATATAACGTCGTGGAACATGAAAATCGCCACGCAGCTTTGGTGAGGAAAGAGGGTTGTTGTTCATATGGATGAAATTGTTTTGATAAAGAAGAAGTACAACTGTGGTCTCTCTAAGACGAATATTGCGTTAGTATTGCGACTTTACAACACTTCCATTGGTAAAGGTATTGTGGAGGTAATTCTAAATCGTAGAGCGAAGACTCTCCTACCGACTATACAACCGTGAGTAATTCCCAGTAGTACAATTCATACAGACGAATTGGCAGGATAAAATTGGTTATCAGAGTTGGGATTCACCCATAATCGTGTCAATTATTTAGATAACTTCGTCGGCGCCACCACAGGAACGATTACTAATCTCCCGAAGACTTTTGGGGAGGCTGAAGAACAGGATTCGAGAGATAAATGGCTCACGAAAGGTATTATTTGTGGCCATCTCGATGAGTGTATGTATATAAACTGGTTTAACTTTAAATCTGATGCCCCCCTCATTGTGAATGAGATATATTTTTCAGTCATATCAGGGTAAAATATCCTCTTTAATGTATTTTATTATTATTTGAAATTTTGTTCTAAATAAGCGGCTTTTTCATGACAAAGACAAAGCTTTTTCTCATTGATCGGTTTCAAGGTCGCGCCCCGTGATCGCTAATCTTTGTGTTTGGCCTAGTAAGCATAAATGACAATCTACTTCATTTTATTTGGTGGATGCCGACTACCAGTGGAATCCAGGGTGAGCATTTCACTTTGCATTTGGGACACATCAGCTAGATGCATATACCTACAATCCCAAACGAGTGATGCTGTTCTTATTGAGACTCTACCCCAGTACCCATCATTTCAAACACTAAAGGTTTATCCACTATGCAATACATGTCACCAGAGCCACCTCGTATTCAACAAGTGTCAGTTCTTATGTGTTTAAGTTAATTTTGTATTTCCAATTTGATTTATTATCATATTAGACTTAAATAATTGGTCGCTGTTGACAACTTGGCTCCTAGTTCAAGCACTTCAGCAACATCTGAGGACAAAAATGATGTTATTACTCGGTGCACAGTGAAATCATTTTCATTCTCAGATATCGATAGAGTGCTCATACTAGAAGTCAACATATCAAGAGAAACTGAGCATTTCAGTCTAATGTAATCAATCAACTGGAAATACAAGATTAACTTAAACAAATAAGAACTTAAATACCATCCACATTTAAAGAAATTTTTGGCGGAATTTTCAAATTTTCGCGGGAAATCTAAAGTATACATGTAGCTTTGAAATGTATGAGAGTTCCGCTTTGTTTCTTGTCTATTTCTACATCTCAGTTCAACTAATCATCAATATGAATAAAGCAAAAACAACATTTCTTGCAGAATAATATGGCACTATCATTTATTTCATTTCGTTGGCTTCTCATCAGCTGCTGTTTACAGCCTGAATAAATTATTCTTATTAAGTTCATGTACACAACAGTTATGAAATCCTTGCAAATTTTACATGAAATCAGTTGACAGGAAGTTACGAACTTAGTGAACAATGCTCAGAAAATTACGCTTATATATTTTTTACACAGGGAGTTCATGTTTAAACAAAGTGAATGTACGCAAAGAATGGTAGAGGAGTTACGTAATAAAGAAGAGAGCCACAACCTATCCTGCAGCTAAGTTAGTTCCCATCAATCGGATAACATGCTCTTTGGTGCAGTCAACAGTCCACAGATACCCTTCATACGTTAACTCCAACTGTACGTGCAAATTTACGTGTATCTGAGAAGGCAGTTACATTGCGAGATCAGAAAGAAGGGCACACTTCCGATTTCCTGAAATTTTATCGAAAAGCCTACGTCTCAAGGGAAAAAACGCTTACAAGAGTGCCATTACCAAGCTATGAGGTGGAAATCGCAAAATCCTTTAACACTATCAGTAGACGATAAAGCTCAATTCTCCTCAAGTTCGCTGAAGCAATCCCTATCAAATGCCGTAAACTCGAGTGATGTGTTCAGAAAGAAGTAGTAATCAGTCTTTCCTTGCCTCGCCATGGTAACTGGATATCTTTAATCTCCGTTTCATTTGATTCCGCAATTTTCGGTTTTAACATCAACCTCCCTCCCTTTGATATAGTTTAATTTCTCTAGTCTGTTCTTTCTTAGATTTTAGTTGAACTCAGTACACTGTCACCCAACTTACTGGTCACTCATCATCTTGTGCACCTCTCGTCTTTATTACGTAACTCCCTAACCATTATATGCACACATTCACTTTGTTTAAACATGAACTCCCTGTGTAAGGACTATATGCACGTAATTTTCTGAGCATTGTTCAGTGAGTCCAGAGCTTCCTGACAACTGACATCGTGTAATATTTGCAAATATGTTAAAACTTTTCTGTACACGAACTTAATAATGATAATAATTTCTTTAGGCTGCAAGCAGCAGCTGATGAGAAGCCAACGAAATGAAATTGTTCTGCACAAACCACTGCTGTTCTTGCTTTATTCAAATTCATCAAGGGGAATAAATGTATGAAGTTTTTGAATAATCAATAATAATGTTGTTGATGACGACACTGATAAATTATGTAACAATTTGGGGATCAATTTAATCAGGGAATTTTAAACATTAAAAACATCCATTTAAGTGTGTGTGTGTATTTGTATGTAAATATATGCAATGAATAAAAATCGAATTATCTAAGTATTTAAACAGATATGTTACTTTTGTATTGGTCAAGTTACTTTACTTATTCCCTTTGTTCATATTTATTCATACGTGCTTACTTTACAACACAAACTGGTGCCAGAATTCCTTGAAGAGAATGTACACATTACTACTATTATTTTTATTATTAATTCCCTCACGTTCCCAGTGGAACATAGGGCTTCAAGCTAGATGCTTGAAGTTTCGGTAGCAGTGTTTATCATTACATGATGGGGTTGCTTGCCTCATACTCAACCTTTTCCTCTTTACCACCTTTATTTCTGGCTTAGCGAGGTAAAGGAGTGCGTTGGCGGCCGGGGATCGAACCCCGGACCATGTGCACATGGTAGGCCAGCGTCCTAACCGCTGTGCCACCGACTCACACAAATGTACACACACATGTTGTATATGACTATGAGTTTATCTAAACAAATGTGATATACTGCAACTTTCACTCTGAAGTTAGTCAAAAAAATCCCACATAAAGTTGTCATCACCAAATTCATTTTTACAAGAACTCAAGAACTCTTTCTCTCTCGTCGATTGTGTTATTCTACATATACAAATAGATTTGAAATTTAAACTTGTCTTGTCTCATAGAATATTCTTCTATATACGAAAGTGATAGAAAATGATGACTGACGGGCGATGATATGGCATTGACAAAATACCCGCCAAGTTTGAATGAGTGATACTTTGACACAAGAGAGCGAAAAAAAAATGGAAAATTCCTGATGCAGGCCGCGCACATACATATAGCAGCAGAAAATCATGAAAATGGGGATTTTATGAGTTTGACAGCGAAGCTTAAAGTCTAGATTAGATTATGAAATGACATTTAGTGTCACAGAATAACAAGAACTCCAAAGCGGCTCAGATAAATTGAATACCTCATAAAAAATTTACGAATTTCTAATTTAATGTCAAATATTTAAACAATAATAATGATAATAATAATATTTATGTCATAAAGTGAACATAGAAACGGTGTGACAAGCGTCTTTGTTAGCATAGTGTCATAAACCCACTCTGATTGACGGTATAAAGGCATTTAAATCTATAGGATTGTGAATGGACTGCCATTCAGATAGACTTATTCTAACGTATTCCCAATCAGTGCAGAGATGCGACTTATACCGTTAGACAAAAAAAAATGATTTTTGACTCATATAATATCCTTTTTTGATTTATTTTTGATGGAACACCTATGTGTTAAAAATGCAATATTTCAACTATTAGTGTAACGGTGGAAGACGGAAGACTAGGTAAAGGAAAGTTTATATACACTTTGGTATCTCTATATAGCTAAATTCTGTACGCCTTATCCTCAACGCACCATTTGCACAGATGTTCCACGTTGTGAGACTTCTCCTCTTCCTTCATATTGTGTTTCTTTGTGTTCCTTTCACGTCTCGCATGTATCTCCGCAACTCTGCATCATTTACTTTCTCTGACATCAAATTTATCTCCCTACTATTTGATCTTTTTTATTCCAATGAACATTTCTTTATACACATACTACTGATAAATCTTATCAGTAACACACACCACATCACTAAGTGAATACTATCCAGAGTTTTACCAAAATAAAAGTAATAACAACCCAATTTACTTTGACAGTTCAAGGTTTTGTTAGTATTGTCATTCAAGAGTATGACAAAGAATTACTCTGCTATTGATGACGCTATAAATCAGGATAGAAGGATGGCATTTAAGAGAAACCACACAATAAGTGGTTTAACACAAAGTGAATGACATCTCACTATTGCAGTGTATATTACTTATAACAGAAGATACGAGAAGTACGTTTTTATTATTTCTTTTGGTTAACTAATAACAAGGGACATTAGATCAAAATATCGAAAGCTGTCGAAGAAACAACAAAAAAGAAAGAAATAACACACTCTGCGAAGAAATACACTCATTTTCAATTCGTTCTTCATCAACAGTTCTACACTTTTGTAGATATTAATGTAGCGGCATTAAAGAGAAACAAATTAGAAAGAAATACTGAAAAATCAAGGAGTACTGGACAGATGTTGCGTCCTTCTTTGGTATTCTTCAGCAGTAGCCTGGTCCCATGAACTGAAGGTACTTAGTTCGATTATCAGTGGGGTTATGGACAGGTGTGAGGCAAAAAAACCCAGTAATATGGAAAAAACAATTGGATTTTATTGGAAATGATAAATCACAAAGGGTGAATGCATCTGCGAACGATTTTGAGACATATCACCTATTGTCTCCAGCCATTGCTCTTTATCATCCCGAGGACCCCAACCAGGAAGTCAATACCTCCCTACATGGCTTAAACGAACTGTTGTGGATTTCATTGACTGATTCCATATCTTGGTTTAACCACCAGTGGCTCTTTTCCAACCCGATCTTATGTCAGCTTACATTTCCCATCGAGGAAGGTGATGGCTAGGCATATATGCGTATCACATATCCTAACTGTCTCAGTCGGTGTAACTTCACAGCCTTATCAGTCTACTTCCTCTCTTTACCTAGCACTCGATTGAGGCCTAACCTCAATATGGCTCAGCCTATTATATCACTTAACATGGGCGATAGAACGCAGATACCTATGATCAAAGACAGCTAACCTTTTCGTATCTTCCACTCTCAATGGCCATGTTTCAGCCACAACCATAAACAAGGACTGGGCGACCGGCTGAGCATTACACACACCTTTTTTTCGACAACCGGATATCGCATCTACGCCAGAGGTGGTGTAAGCTGGCATAAGCCAAATAAGCCTTCTGTATTCGTGCTGAGGTTTTGTCAGCAACCATCCCACTGGCACTGGCTGATACAACTCCCCAAATAAGTGAAGTAGTCATTGCTCCCTGATTTTCAATTATCTTTCACTGATATCGGGTTCGTAATGAAATCTAACAACTGATAAAAATTTATCATTAAGTGGTGAATATCTTAAACCTGCATTTCGTCGACTAACTACTACTGGTCATGATATATTTATATGAGTAATATAAATATAGAAAAAACTAATCATTTTAATCGCTAACTGACTAACATCAAACCAAATGACAACCAACCAATACATAAATTAATAAATACACTATACTTGGAAAAACAACTGAAGCTAACCAGCTAACTCCTATTACAGTGACACACAAAATGAGGGGGGGATAAAGCAATAACAACAACAACAACAGGAACGACAACAAAGACAACTCTTGTATAGATAGATACAGAATCGAATCGCTTATGAAGAGAGAGAGATCAAAGTACATTTTAATTTAAGTGCTTTTTGATGTCTTTTTTGTTTTTCTACGTAAAAAAACTTTTATCAAGTTAACAAAATAAAATCTCCTACTTTGAAATTCATATCACACTACAAATCACAGCTGTATTTAGAGGATCAAAACCTTTCCAGCACCAGCCCCCCTCCCTCCAAAATAAACAACATAATAACAGTCTTGTCAGCATTAAAATTGAAAATGACATCAAGTTATAAGAAGCAGTGCCACCGAAATGCACAGAGACTATGTGTCGGTGCGTGCATAGAAAACAGGTGTGTGTGTGTGTGTCAGTGTATGCCGTTATTTTTCCTCTATCTCCCCTCCCCCCTCCTTCCAGGCACTCTCACTCTCGGTACATTAAAAAAGGAGTTTTCTCTTTGAACACACCCATATACACACACACACACGTCTACACATAAAAAGGGCATAACATTTGATTATTCAACTTACAATTGACTAAAATATCAAATACTATAGAAGCTCGACCAGCTGGGTTGATCAGTGTCATTTCATAGGATCCAGAATCCAATTCTGTAACAGAATGAATTACTAAATGTCGTCCGCGTAAAGCATAGATTCTCGGCGGTGGACCATGTATCTTCGATTCTTCTAGACGTGATGACGGAGATGTTGATGATGATGATGATGGAGGCCATACAGGAATTGCCTGATGTTCATCCTTTTTATGCCATCTATAGATCATTGTTACAGAAAGAAAATAAACAGTAAATATTTTTAGACATTATATTATTATCAAAGTAATGAATATTCATTTCCGTTCGGAGTAGAACATGGAGATTCATTCATGCTTGAGCTTTGAAGTTTCACTGGCGATGATTTTGTTTTTTTACGGTATGGGACTGCTAGCTTAATGCTCCACTTTCCCTCTAAGACTGGGTTTACTGGCTAGGGATCGAATCTCTGACCACGTGTGTGTGTAGCTGGCAATCTTACTACCGTTCAAACAACCATCAGTCGTATTGTATATCTGTAGAATTTAGACAGTGTGATAAGATATAGTCGTATACTCGCTATTTCGCCTGATGCATAAGTCACTGATATGTAACATTTGTTAAAATACAACATCTCAAGCATGTTTTCCTCCTAATTAATAATATTAGTGTATTGCATGAAGAGTGGTCTCCACAAAGAGGAATAGAGTTCATACAAGCGATTTGAAGGTGAACAAGTTTATGCTTATCAGTACAGATAGAGTTTAATAGTCAACGGTTGGAATCAGTGGAAGGAGGGGAGAGGGGAAGAGTACCAACATCTTTTCTGCGACTCTCATAACTTTTCAAAAAAAGCCCTAACAAAGGTTTAAAAGTGATTTGAGTGGACCGTCATTTCGGTAGCATTATGTCCAACGGAATTTGTAACAAAACATGAGGTGTGTCTGTGGTGAGAGCTGTCTACTAACCAAATTGGTAGACAGTAATTTACGTCAATATTTACGTTCCCAAGATTTGTCGTGAGAAAATGTGAACAAAGATTGATTCAAAACCGACCACATCAGACTTTGCGTAGGCGGATGCAGTTAACATATAGAGGATTTGACATTCAAGAAACAGTCACAAATAGATGAAAGATTAACTTTACGTGAGAAACAACCAATCGGAAGACTGTGTTTGTTTGCTTAAATATCCATAGTAATGTACATGAAAATATATAAATATGAGTTGATTTCCTTAATAAATGATCTGTTGCCTGACTATTGCCTTCTGTCGTTACATGTCAATAATGTTTCACAGTTCATTGTTATTCTAAATGACTTCGATTCATAAGCTATTGCAGCTTAGATCAGCTCACTTACCAACATCAGGAAGGTTTAAAGGTCACTTTTATGTTCTAGTAAATAATTTACTTCAAGTTAAGGCGACATTTTTCGAGAGGAGGGTAATATGTACTATGATGTAATCTAATTCCATATACCCAACTAATTTTTCCGTCATCTTTCTATCTTCTACAAAACATAGGACAGCACAGATTTCTATGAAGCAGTGTTAGGAAGCCTTTTAGAGGTGCAGTCGACTCGTCGAGTTACATTTGTATTGGAGGAGTAGACTGTAATCTTTTTTCTTACGTTATTTCTACAGAGGCCTTTGTAGTCATATTATAAACTATCAGTGTGTGTCGGTAGCACAGCGGTAGGAGGCTCACCAACCACGCCTCGTGTGCTTCAGGGTTCAATCCCCGGCCGACGCACTGCTCTACCTCGCTAACCCAGTAATAAGACTGGTAAAGAGGTAAGGTTGGGTATGAGGCTAGCAACCCCATCCCGTAAAACTGAACACCACTGCTACCGAAACTTCAGAACTCTAGCTTGAGCCCCTAAGTTCCACTATGAACTTAAAGGAATAAAAATAATAATAAACTATCAGTGGTATCTCAAAAGACGTCCTTTATTCTATATATATGTATATATATATATATATATACCGTTTTCAGTAATTCCTTCGAGTATACATCATGTGCTCAGACGTGATGAATGTGTGTTCTATAAAAATTTTGACGCTATTGGTAGGACATATACAATGACAACCTATTTAGGAATTTTAAGCCCATAATCTCCATTCCTTATTCGGTGATTCAGGGGTAGAATAGCTGCCAGTGAACCACGCAAGCGGTCCGGCTTCAGTTATTCATCGACTCATTCTTAAACCACGCCTAGTGGGTAGTAAGTCGAGTAGAGAGATAAAGAGAGGGAAGGTAAGGCGTGAGGTCAACCTCCTCATCTCAGGGAAAAGAAACAGTCTTGATTCCAATGAAGTAAAACAGTTCTACCTCCCCCTATAATCACATTTCATCGATACAAACGACTTAAACAATAATCTTTAATTATCAAGTGCTTGATTTGCAGCGATTCCAGTGTTTACAGGTTTGATGACTAGCTGAGATTAATTAGAGAACAACTGGAAAATCAGGGAGTAGTGGGCAGCTGTTTGCTCCGTCTTAGTTAAGGACTCTTCATCAGTACCTATCCACCAGCGTTTCATCCCAGGACCTTTCGGTCACAAGACAAGCTTCTACCAATTTGTGACGTATATATATATATATGTAGCATCAACCGCCAACCAGTGTCATAGGCGAGTGAATGTTTGTTCTCTTCTCTGACTTAGTGGACCCTGGTGGTTTTCCAATGGTTCTCTAACTTATATCACAGCTCATAATGATTAAACAGTGTAAACAATCTTCAAGTAAATGTTTCTGTAATGTATCTAATGGTGAAATTCTGCATGAAAATTGTTGTTACATCTACGTATACAACCAGCCCCACCCACAGAGGACAAAGTGTCCTTTGGCAATAAACACAAAATATGATAATTAATCTTCTAACAGTCAGCTGAACTGACTGTCTGTCTGCTGATATAATTTTTTTTTAAATGTTAGGCCTACCACTAAGACAATTTTGCATGTGTAATCAAATAAAAATGTACATGTTCGCTTGTTTGTGTGTGTGTGTGAATGTGTTTGTGTTGTTCCAATGTCTGACCAGTGACGTTTACACCGAAAGGAAGACCTAGTGGTCTTCACTGTCCTGTTTGTTGGTTCGCTTTTTTTCACATTGTCTCAATTCGATTTCAATGAAACATAAATATATTCTAACGAAAATATAATTCCAGTTATAAAGCCTACAATCTAATATTGTGACGATGTAAATCAAAATGGAACACAATGGACACATGAGTAAGAAAGAAATAATGAATGAATGTTATTCATATAAGATATGTAATAAAGACGATTTCTCTCAATAATAATAATAATAATAGTCTCATAGATGGCTCTGACAGATGGATACACTAGTTGATAAATACAATTATAGGTTATGTCTATAAGTCAGTTTGTCTGTGTGTGTGTGTGTGAGTGTGTGTTTGAATACATTCAACCCCCTAATGCCTAAATTTATAATTTGTTACAATTAAGTATCGAATATTAATGGAACAATAGTGTGTACTGAATCATCAAATGAGGTTAGTTGGTTGGGTGGTTGGATGGATGGCTGGTGTTGCTCATTGTAGCGTTTTGCCTCCCTTTTTCACATGATTATGGGTCATTCATGTTTTGTTTTCGTTTTTGTTGTATTATTTGAAAGACACTTGGATAAATAGATTGGTTGGCTGATAAGAGAGTGAACAGTTAAATATGTGCACATACACACACTCACACACACAAACAGAGGGACATACACACACACGCACGTGTTTACAGTAAAAAATTTGAGTTGAATTCACTTCAATCAATTCACTTCCATCATTTGGACTGTATTTTTTTTGTTATAATAATTAAGCGACTTCGAAACAATGTAAGAAGAAGAAAAACGTCTTCTTTTCGGTTCATGTTGAGTTGAGTTGAATAAAACGGGGATTATTAAGAGGATAGCAAAAAAAAAGGAAAATAAAAGCTGCTAGTGAATTGTTAACCAAACACTAAAACTGTGGCTAACCATAAAATCGTTGCCACTAGGATTCATGAGGTCATCGCGATTGAAGACAGACATTCGTCGATGAGACTGGTCAGTGGTCGCGGTAAAATCATGAATTGGCAGAAGTTAGAATTCGTGGGTTGGCCATTGAGTCAGGTCCCAGCTGGTCTTGTACCCGGAAGGTCTCGGATTCGAGCCTTGGTGGGTGCGTACTGGCTATGATTTCTAAACTAGGACGAAACACGTGTCTCACCTAGCTTTCAATGTTTCTCTAACTGATATCAATCCTTGGTTAAACTTCAAACAAATCAGATCCCTACAAACCAACTCTTGAAAATTATGAATTACACATTAACTGCAAGAGAGCAAATTCAATGTCTGTAAACGCTTTAACCTATCGGTGAGTTATCGATTTACTTTTTCACATGGTGGCTATCCATCGAGATCCACCCACCAATCGAAGCTACACTAAAAATTGACAAAAGCTAGAATCTTTGGGTCATTAACTTATAACCTCATTGAGTGGATGAATAGTCAACGTGCTCGTTATGTGGTGAGAGCTGTCTGCTAGCCAAAATTGGTAGACAGCAATTAACGTCAATGTTTACTTCCCAAATCTTGGTCATGAAAAAAACAAGAACAAAGACTTTGCGTGGGCGGACACGATTCGCAGATATATGGCATGACCTTCAAATTAATGGCCACAAAGAGATGACAGATTAACTTTCAACAAGAGAACGACCAATCAGAAGACGCTGTTTCTCTGCTAACAATAATAAATAATAATGTACATAAAAATCTATAAATATATGTTGATTTTCTCAATAAACGATCTGTTGCCTGGCCCTTGTCTTCTGTCGTTACAGTTATGTAACTTAAAGGTTCTAGGTTCCATCCTTGATGGAGTATAGTTACCCCGCAATGCTGGAGATTTTTAAATTAAGTCGAAACAACTGTTATTCAGTACACCTTGGTTTTCAAAACAATATTTTAATCTATTTGATTTATGTAAGGTAGAAAATGCAATGGCAGAAGGTGTAATATTTGCCTTATGTATTTATTTCTGTAACAGATTCTCAGGTGTTAGATTGTTTAGGCACCCAAATGTTATTCATCAACCGTAATGAAGATGACACTGCATAACTTTCTATTTTACACTACAGTCATCTATTTTTGCAATTAGTTGTGCTCGCTGAGCCGGTTGGTTTAACTGCTGAGCTTTCGTCCACCTGAGCTACAAATATTTTCTATTATTCATCTATTTTATTAAGAGTAACAAGTTTAAAATATTTCCTAAAGTCTGGAGTGAAGCTGACAATCCCATTTCGTACAAAAGAAACACCAAAGCTAATGACACTTCAAAGTCTGAAGCTCTATATTCCAATTGGAACGCAAATAAATGAGAAAAAACAATAAATAATATAGCGGAATAAAATGGAATCAGTGACCTGATACATGAACTTAAGGCGAAAAAGGTACATTATATTCGTGTAACAAAATAATAATTTTCTACAATTCCCGTCAGTCTTCATCATCACCAGACTATTCTGAATTGTTAATAATTATTATTTTTTTTAATTTAATTTAATTCAGTTTGGATTTTCCCGCCGATCGATTGAACCGAAGTGCTCGGTCTCAGGTTGACATGTTGGATCCTTGTGCAGATGCTTCGATGATATATGGCCATGTAACTTGAAGTCAATTGGTGTATGTTGACTAGCAGTGGAATCCAGGATGCCTTTACAGGAATACCTAAATTGAATTCAATAATTAATAAAACCCATTGCACAAGAAATGGTTCTGTTGGTCCAAGTGGTCTAGTGGATAACGCCTTGGCGTTCGAGAACACGGATACTGGGTTCGAGCCTTGGTGGGAACACCCTCACTCACTGGAATGACGAGTTCCAAGTAGGACGAAATGGGTATCCTGTATTCCACTGTTAGTCACCATCCACCAATAGACTTCAAGAATTAACTGTACTTTGTAATTATTTTACATTTTTGTGTTTTGTTGTTTTACTTACGTGATTTTTGGTGTTGGGTTTGAGATCTGATCAGTAATGAAAGAATTCGATGGTGATTCATCTGAATAATACCGTAGATTGGCATCTTCATTTATCCGCACAACATAAGGTTGATTCTTTTTTAAACGAGGCGAGAAATCTGTTCGTTTGGGATAGTAGAGAGCTAAAATTCAAGAGGGGGAATAGAAAATAAAAATGAACAAATAAATATTGAATATAATCAGAAAGCCTATGCTTAGCGTTGTATGCAACAGCAAAATAATATTAAATTCTGAACAGTGTTTTATTGGATCTCATGTCATATATCAGTTTTGCTCCGGATAAATATTGCATGAGTTTCTTCTCTTTACTATCGAAATAACCAACGGCGGGTGGGGGGGGGATAATGAACTGACTTCATTCAGAGAACTACTAAGCATTAGAGAGTACTGGACAGCTGGTTGTAGCGCTATATATCTCAGACTGGCAGAAATTAGAGTCTGTTAGCTACTGAATTCCGTCCCAATGCCTAAATCATACCTTCTGCCCAGTAAGTCCTATTCAGTACCTTCATGCCATGGCAGTGTTCCTCACAAAAAGGATAGGGCGAGTGAGAAAGTCTAGCGCTTAAAACCGGACTGGTAGACATCCAGGCCTGCCTAAAGGAGATGGAAAACTCGAACTCCAAACCTATAATTTAAATGGGCTCCAGAATCTGAAAGGATAAAATGGTGTATGAAGCTGTTTTGATCACTGGAAACCATTGGAGCGTAGCTCGTGAGGCTATTCCACTGTCTTGTGGATCTGGCGGCTTTGATGTTTGAAACGCTGGGCACTGGTTCCGAGTCCCGTTGGGAACACCATCACTGACTGAGAGTTGCAGATACATTCAGCTGATGAGTCCCCAACTTGAAACGGAATGCGCATTCTGGATTCCGCTACTAGTCACCGTCCAAAAAATTACTTCAAAGTGTAACCAATGTCACGCGTTCAGTCACTGGTTGGTTGTAGACTGAGTTTCATGAAATACATGGAGACAAACATCGAAATGTTACAGTTAAGACTGTTAGAATATACTTCATATTTGATCTACTATACACCACTAATTATTCAGTATAAAAACTACTAGTTAAGTTAGTTGTAAAAAGCTACAATTTTCCTGATGATTATCGTCAAAACTTACTTATTCAGAAAAGAGTCAGAAAAAAAAGATACAACATCTGCTGACTATGCAAATGTTGAAATACCGCCAAATCAATAAAACGTTAACATGTCATAAATAACTAGTTTGACACATGAGTAAATCCTATTATTAGATCAGGTATTAAATAGATGATATCAACTTTTATGATTATTCTAATTAAAAAATGTCTATGTATATAGTAAGCCTTCAGAATAATTGAATTCTTACTTCACAATGTGTAATGTTGTACTCTATCAATGTAGCCTGTATATAACATGAAGCAGTAGTTTTGAAATATTCATATTTTATATGACTGACAGTGTTTGACTGCATCTTTGTTACGACCACAGAAGTACCCGTATCAAAAACTACGAGGAAAAACTGAAATACTTTTTAAACCTGCTTCCGTTTAACACCTTGATTATGTAATGTTGTATGATGAATTAAGTTCATTTAGCGGTAGAAAGTCATGTTATTTGCTTGTTTGAAGACCTGATCAATAGTATTTACTTTGACGTAGTAGTCAGGCTTGCTATACCGTTTGGAGTGAATACTTCTACAGGTCCTACTACGCTAGAAAGTATGGTTGGATAGTGATCAGACTAAAAGCATTTACTCACTACTTGGTAGGAGTCTAAAGGCAAGGTAGCACTACTAACGAGTAGAAGTGTAGCAAGAGTAAAGTGTTTTTTCTTCAGACGACCAGCTAGTGAGTTATACTGCCTTCCTCCTCCAGGGAGGGGATAGTAGAGATGGAAAAGGTCAACTTCATATATTTTTCGCCCTGACTTACCCTGTGACGGCCCGTAGGCTACGCTACGGTATGATCCTCGTACTGACACAACTCCAAAAATGCTATTTGTAACTGGTTTCAAGCAGTTGTTGCCTGGGGCTCTGAGGGTACACAGTACTTCGACAGAATGAAATCAGTAACTATGGTGTTGGCAACCAGGAAGTAATAACCGCCTCGACACCTCTATAATCATACACAGGCTTTCTGTTCATCTCCTATCCTCATCATCTAGAAGGCGACTTGTCAACTATCTCACTTCAATACCGAGATAATACCTTGAATGATATTTAACGTATATACGATAGTTAGATAATTACCAGTTGCAAACATTATGAAAGCATTAAAAATTTCTCTTCTGATCATAAAACTCATAATAATAAGCGTAGAGTTCACATACTCATCAGAATGACCTAAAATCTTTAGATAGGAAAATCATTTCTCACTCAAAAAGTTCCCAACGCAAAACGCCTGCCGATTACAGTGACACAAAAGTTTCAAAAAAAAAATATTTCGTGGAAAAATATACTGATGATACATTCACTTAGTGCCTCTCATTATTTAAGCCTTGCATTGACGTCTTCGTCTTTTCCGTTGAGATGTACATTCCGACACACCCTTCCCTCGTCTGTAATCAATGTGACAGGCACGAGAAAGTTACTAGTCGAGGTACATTACCGTAGACTATTGTGCCTTTCTTTTCAATCCGCTGACGCCAATAAACTTATAAGTTTCAGATACATTAACCAGTTTTTCTAAATGGGTCAGAAACTTGGCCTGAGCTTCATGGAAAGCATTCCCAAATGGCAGCCTTGAGAGATCAGATAGCTGGTCAAAAAGGATTAGCAACATGGAACTCTAGGAAAGAACCAATCAACAAGTCATCTCTCAACAAATATGTCCAAGAAAATTGAGATTGATGGCAATCAAGCTGATGAGACCATCTGGTGACATCACCAGCCAGGCCATCATTCAAAGGGAACCTCAGTGGGAAAATATGAGTTGGACTTGTGTTCGAGGGTGATATGGAGGAGACCAGGTGAGAAGGAGATGAGAGTCGTGGAGCCAGCTAAAGAGGACAGCAGAGAACAAGGTGAAATAGAAATATACTGTTGTTTAAGCCTTATGTTCTACTCGGAACTCAAGGAAATAATAACAAATCACATAATAAAGCGACACAGTGAAACTAGTACAGGTAATCGAGATTATGACAACACTAAGCAGTAAGATTCAGTAAATAAAAACAAAAATAACTAGCGTCTAGTATATTTCAAAAACTGTGCGAAAGTATAGTTCTTCGCTATACACTGAATTACACTTATGATCAGGTTAAGTATAAATCATTTGTAGTTGCTTCGTCAAATCACTGACTGCCTGAGTTTCAACATAGAAGTCTACCCAAAAGTACAACAGCTCAACTCACTACATTCCATGTATTACAACACAAACGGTAGAGAAAAGAAATAATGAAAGAATAATAAAATGGGAAAACATGGGGACTTTGTGGATATGAGAGATTGCAAAAGAGTGATGTCATCTACGTCACTGACGAATACTTTGAACCATATCATTGACAGTCACTACACATCAGTTTTTAGCAGCCTAAGAACTCCAACTCTACACCTCCCTACGTGGTTAGCCCGGAACAACTGTCAAATACTTCATGGCTTGATGTCAGGTTTTGGTCTTCACACTACTCCTAGCTCATTTCCAACCCAACTTTATGTCATCAGCTAACGTTGCTCGTCGAGGAAGTATAAAATAACATAAATTCAAAACTGTCTACAGTGAAATATCCAAAATGACTAAACAGATCACACGATAGTAGCACTACCGCAATTGAGGTACTTCTTGTACTCTATAGATTACATCTGTTTTAAAATAAACTCAGTTAGTTATTAAATGAATTTGCTGATTCTGTAAATGTTCCTATTCATCTGTTGTACATAAGTACAGAACCAACAACATCCACTCTCTGTGCTTTAAAGCCAGTAAATCTTAGCCTACTGCCAATAACAAATAATCATCAGCAAATATAGATGACCAAGTCGAAAAATAATCAATAAATCGGTATTATCACTGTTGTTATTGTGTCGAATTTACCAGTTGGCATTTAAAGCAAGTAACATACTCTTTTTCTCTTTTCAGTTTTCCTTCATTTTGCTTGTGTTTTTCCTTTTTGTATTTTATTTTTGTGTCGTTTTTTTTACAAGTCGAATATATAACAAAATGTTACATACCATGGGCACATATAGATATATATTACTTATTTGAATAAGTGCAAAAACATAATGTGTATGCAGTAATATATTGAAGATGTAGTCAAATATTACTAGAGAGAGAGAGAGGAAGGACTCTTGTATGTGATTGTTTGTGATTTATTTGTTTACCTTCTTATCTTCCCCTCCTTGTTGTCGTGGTTGCGTACCACGTTGTCTCTCTCCGTCCCTCTCTCGCTCTCTCTCGTTCAGGTTCTTAATTACCATGGAAGAAGGATGACAGAGAGACACAGAGACGAAAAGAAGGAGGCTAAGTTCACTTTGAATCCCTAAATTTAAACACTATTAAGAAATAGTGTGATAAATCAATAAGCTTTCAAAATTCCATTGACAATTGAATGAATTTTCGTTTGTTTGTTTGTTTGTTTGCTTTTTCCTAACTCAGAGGGAATATCCAGGGTGTTATATCACATAAACTGGTATGGATTATGTGCATGCATGTTATTATTCTACAAAACTTGTCGGTGATATATCTATTCTGACTTGTAATATTTGTCAACAGGGTGTATATATACAACGTATACCACTTCGGTTGAAATCGAGTCACGCGTAGAAAGCGGGAAGATGATTTCATATAGTAGTTTTTCGTTAAAGGTTAAAAATGATATTCCTTCCGATTAGAACAGTGTGTTTATCCCTTGTGTTGGAAGAAACTTTGGAAGGGGACTTTTGTTCATTTCATCTGTGCAATTTTCCCCCAAAAATATAACTTTTACGCGGAACACATAAAATACAAATGTGTTGCCTCCCCCCCCAAACATACATCGTTTTCTCATTCACTATGGCTGACTAGTTGCTGTCGGTGGCACAGCGGCTAGGACTTTCGTCGACCATGCACATGGTCCGGGGTTCGATCCTAGGCCGACAAACACCTGATATCAATGGTCGGCCTGCGGAATTTAGGCTACCGAGATCACATGCTGAAAATTCCA